TCCATCCCACAGCCATGGTCCTTGCAAGCCTGCACAGTTAGAAGCTGATAAAAGCACATACTGAAGACCTGGGACAAGAGAGAACGCCATTCTTGACTCATGTGGCATGGTCTTAGAAGGCCTTCCTCTGCCTTTGATGAGTCAAGGTGGGGAAAATTACAGTGTTGCCTTAATAACATAGCAGCTTCCGGAAATATGGCTCTGGAAATAGCATCAAAATGTCACATTCCTTCCCACCAACAAAGGCTTCTTGGATAGTGACAAGTTGCTAGGTGACATTTCCCTCCTATTTTCAGCTCAATGGCAGGCTCACACACCTCCTTGGTTAGTGCTGTCAAAGAATTCCCACATCTTCAGTCATCAGAGGTGAAGAAGGAGGCAGCAGAAATAACAACAACCCATTTTCAGATTGCCAACTGTGGAACAAGAACATAGCTTAGGTCTGAGCCAAGATACAAACACACACACATAAACATTCACCACTATTTGCAAGCTGCACACAGGTTTCCATTTATGCAGTTTTTGAGAAGCCCCTGCAAACAGGGCCAAAGTGTTAGCCTCCATTTACCATGGTAGCTGGAATACCAAGGCACAATAGAATGCTTTTCCATACAATTAAAAATTACGACTCGTGGAAAATTAGTTTGTCAACGAGAAAGATCTGTTAGTTTTTGTATAGACAGATCCTGCCACATGAGCCCCAACCTGCAGTCTGAAGTGGTAAATCTCAGGTGCTCACGACCTGCCTGAGAACTGGAGGTAACAAGTAGAACTTGGAACAAAATGTTGGAGTGTGGAGTGCCTCCTGTTCACGGTGCCAGCCAGCCACTCTGCATTCTGTGGTCACTGAGCATGCTCAGCCTTTACTGGGCTGGGGTTCTGGGGTTCCCTCCTCAGCAAACCATGGGGTTCCCCAAGGCCTGCTGATGCCTCCTTCTTATCTGAGGATGGTACTGCTTTGGCTTCCAGCATTCATAGATAGATAGATAGATAGACAGATCTTTCTGTCTGTCTGTCTGTCTATCTATCTATCTTCTGAGTCTGGAAGGTATCTCTACTGAGAAGGAGATATTCCATCTTCAGTATGTGCCTTTTACCCCCATTAAACAATTTGTGTAGAGTGTTTTAAGTACCTACATCTAATAACCTTGACAGTTGCTTCTACTACAGCTTCCCTTAAGGCCATTATATGCAGAGCATTTTGAAACTGAGCCTTTGAGGGCAAAGCAGGTTGAAAATCTGAACCAATTTTTCTAAGTATACTTAATGGGAAATAGGCTCTGTCATAACCATCTTGGACTTAACTTGCAATTAAATAGCCCTAGTTGCAAGAACGGGGTACATAGCAATGAAGAAAGAGACAATTTTGTCATTTAAAAATAGCAACAAAATGTTGCAGCTCCTGTTTGTGATTGCAAATTCCATTGTCAACTATGCACTGTGTGTAGAAGTACTTTATTTTGTCTGTCCTGAATCTCGCACCTTTCAGCTTCGTTGAATGAACCTGGATTTTAATATTATGAGACGCAGTAAAACATCTCTCTATCCATTTTCTCCACAACATGCATTATTCAAACAATATTTTCAAGTCCTGGTTTACAGTATTATTCCCCTCGTGGGCAATCAAATTTCACATTTTATTTTACAAAGTTTTCAGCTTAAGTGGTAATGTCAAACAAATTTGCAAGTGCCAAGATTTGTCCTAAGGAAAAACATTAAAAAACAGTAGGTTTTTGGCAGCAAACCTATTAGCAGGGCAAGGATGAAAGAATTGTTGTGGCTTGGCTGTGAGCATTTGAATATTTTAATTTGCAAACTGTTTTTAAGTGAATGTATGTAACACATGTTTATGTCTAATGTTCAAAAGCAAACATGCCCATGATATTTCAAGCCACGTGGATCACCACCACCCATTTATTATAGTCGACAGACCAGAAATAAGACTGCTATGGAAATAATAGCACAATATTCAACAGACTATAGGGAGTTGTCTTCAGGTCAGTCAGACCATTGGTCAATCTGATTTCATACTGTCTGCAACGACTGGCAGTGGCTCTCCAAAATTTGAAATGGGCATTTCCCAGCTATACCTCAAGATGTGATTTCACCCAGGGCCTTTTGCATGCAGAGCAAATGCTCTACCACTGATTTACCTCTTAGTTTGCCATAGTTCATTTTTATAGTCTAATGCAGGAATAGTCAACATGGTATCCTCCCAAAGTTGTCGTACTCTATCTCCCATCAGCCAGAACCAGTATGGCCAATGGTCGGGAATTATGGGAGCTGTAGTCCAACAATGCCAGGAGAGCACCACAATTCCTATTCCTGGTTTAATGTTTCTTTTAGTTGCAGATTAATGTGACTTGTGAACCGGACCATTATCTCAGCAGTCCTTCCCATGTCCTTCTAAGTTAGAGGAACCTAGCAAGTTCATGCAAGAGGGAAAACATTGAACTAGGGACTGATTTTCTGGTTCACAGATCAGTCTCTTTGCCACTATGTCAGTAGGCCTTGCTTTGCTTACTTTACAGGCTGAAAAGTTTTTTTAAAAACATGGCCTCAGGAGCACAAAATAAAAGAGCAAATCACCTCTCAGCAGAACAGTATGCAACCAGTTTGATGCTCTTTTGAGGTGCAAAAATATTTGAACCCTTGGAAGCCAGCAACCTTACATGTTGAACAATTGGAATTTTGCTGCCAGCTCCCTGCCCCCCACTCCCAAATTCCCATGTTTGATGGGGAAACTGCTTTTGCTAGATTAACACTGACAGTTCCTGGGGATTGAATAGAAATAACAAGGCGAAAAGGTGAGCTGATTAAAATGTCACAACTCTGTCATTGCCAAACCTCGCAAAGACAGCAGGTCCTTGCTGCTATATTCCTGGCTCTAATCAGGCGCTAATAGGGCACCATGCTGGAACAGGCTATTCAACTAGAGCAGCTAAAAAAAAAAAAACCACCTTCCTCTAAATCTGCAAAAAGTGATCATATATTGTGAATCCATCTCAGCCTTTTAAAAAACTCAGTAGTGGTTTGTGCTTTATGATCTTTCCATCTCCAAACCCTGCAATGTTGATCTTATTAATATCTCAACATGCCAAGAGGGACATCATAGACTCCAACTGTCCCAGAAATGTCACGAAAATGCTTAAGCTATCACGGTTTCTCACTTTCTCATGCCGAGTCCTGAATTCCCATCTTTGTTGAGGTATGCTAACTGGAAATGGCTTCAAATTGGAGGAAGCAGGGGGAAGAGAGAGTTGCTGGCTGAGGCTGCCTTCCTCCACTCCTCCACCTCCTTCACCTCATTTGCCACCAAAGACTCTTGCACTGTGTCCGAGGGAGCCAGGCTGGTGGAATAGTAGCAGTAGTTGTAACAGGAAGAGGAGAAAGAGGAGCAAGGCACTGGGGATGCCAACACCACTGTCCCACTGACTGTGACTCCCTGGCCTGGTGAGCCCCCAGCCACCCATCCAGCTGGCCATGCTGAATATAAACGAGGAGAAAGTGAGCCAGGTCAGGCCTGAAGAGAAGGCAGCAGCCTGAGGAAATCCTGGGCAGAAGGCCCTGGGGGTGATGGGGAAGGGTATGGCTGGCGGGATGCAGCCAGGCATGTGGGGGGCTGTAGTTTGAGGGATGTGGGGTCCAAGGTTATGGGGGTCGAGTGTGGGTGCTGAAGCTAGCTGGGCTTCGAGGGGGGGTTTCTGTATCATGAAAAAATCTTAACATGCAGAAAAAGCCCCCCACCTCCAGGAGTGATATTGATGTAGAAAAGAATGTCCCTATTTTCATCTGAGGGATGCGGGTGGCGCTGTGGGTAAAACCTCAGTGCCTAGGACTTGCCGATCGTATGGTCAGCGGTTCGAATCCCCGCGGCGGGGTGAGCTCCCGTCGTTCGGTCCCAGCTCCTGCCCACCTAGCAGTTCGAAAGCACTCTTAAGTGCAAGTAGATAAATAGGTACCGCTTTATAGCGGGAAGGTAAACGGCGTTTCCGTGCGCTGCACTGGTGCTGGCTCGCCAGAGCAGCTTCGTCACGCTGGCCACGTGACCCGGAAGTGTCTCCGGACAGCGCTGGCCCCCGGCCTCTTAAGCGAGATGGGCGCGCAACCCGAGAGTCGGACATGACTGGCCCATACGGGCAGGGGTACCTTTACCTTTTTATTTTCATCTGAGGAATGTAGGTGGGTATGTTTGCTGATGTGCGCTGAAGATTCTCAATTTTGGAATTGGGTTTGGCACCCAAGAAGAGCATTGCAGGATCAGGCCTATGGCCCATCTAATCCAGAAGGCTGTATTCACAGGGGCCAACCAGGGGCCAATGGGAAGCCCACAAGTAGGGCATGAGCACAACAGCATCACTCCCCACTTCTGATTCCCAGCAATTGGTATTCAGACATACTGCCTCCAACAGCGGAGGTAGGAGATAGCCATTTTCTAATAATCCAAGTTGGTGGCCATCACTACTTTTGGGGGGGGGGGGACCAAATCAAGATTAAGAATTATGTGGATGCCTTTCATAGGAGGATTTCAAGAAGTCACCCAACTTGCAATGGACCAGTCCTAGCGGTAGCTGAGAGACATAGAACTGATGGACATGCCTTTTCCTAACTTGTAAGTCCACTTCCTGGCTATAAATAGTGAGTCCCTCATTCTGGACACGCCTTGCCTGACAGTGCTGTGACACCAGTTCTTGCACTAGGGTTGCCCCCCCCCCCATGCAACTGTGTATTTAATAAGGTATGATCACTCTCTGAATTCCTGAATCTTGCCCTTTTTGATACATGTTGAAATCTGCTCACAGGAAGGTCTCAAGTCCTCAGTAGCCTGAACATGGGTCACATGCAGGGCCAAAATGGTAGGCACCAGAATCTTTGGTCATTAACAGCCCACCCCTCCATTCTCAATGAGAAAGGTGATTTTATGGAAGGGGGGTGGAGTACATCAGAACCTGTTTGAGAGGTTTCAGATGAGGCTGAAAGAAATTTGTGCAAGAGAAAGATTTCAAAGGTATAAAATAAATTTATTTGCTTTATGAATGCAGGCAATGCCCCTTAGAGTACTATTAAGCTTGATCATTCACAGAACAGCCCAAGGATGTGCACTGATTTAAAGACTGCAGCCAGAGTTCAATGCTTTCTATGCACATTGTCATATGTCAGATTGAGGCGCCAAGTCAGCTGGGCAACTCCTCATCATGTACAAGAACAGGGAAGCGTTCACCTCCTTCACACAGCAAGGTGTAAATGGCACGGCACAGTGATGCTCTGGAGCTTTCCTGAATAGGTCCAGGTTCTAGAAGAGGGAGAAGTTCAGCTTCCATGGCCTGGGAACAAGACAACCTGTTAGTGGGGAGGGAAAGTATCTCCAACACAGACCATTCAGAAGTTCAGGAGTGCAGGTGATATACTGAATCAGGGAAGCAAATAAGAGTTGTATAATTGTCCCTTGACTGCCTTTTCCAGCTCTCAGTAAATGGCTGCTAATATGCATAGGCAGCAAGCTGCGCTGGCTTGTGGTGCCTTCTGCAGTGTGAACCAAGAAACCACAAAGCAGAGTCCCTCAAGCAACCTGCAATGTTGAAAAAAGAAAAAAGCCACTAATCAGAGTCAGCACAGCATCAGGATGGTGCAATGAGGCTCATTTGGATAGCCAGTAAAGCCTAATGCTAAAGGAGGTATGACCTCAGGGGCAGCTACAGACCGAAGCTGGGGAAAAGAGAACAGATGAAAAACCAAGTGAATGGTTGGCTAAAACGTGGCACTTTGCTCCTACGGCAAACTTAATGCATTATATTAGAATGATACCCCACTCCGGAACTCATACGATCAATAAATTAGCACAATTGGTTCAAGCTCAATAGAAAAGCTTTCTACAGCTACCATTAAGTAAAAACTGAGTTTTCATCTGGCCAGTTTCCAGTTGTGAGAGCATATTCCCTAGCTGCCTTCTGTTTCATCCACTCGCTTTTAGTTCTATGCAGCAGGATAGCCAATTAATCTCTCTGAATATAAAACAGCCAGATTTAGGAACACAGGAAGCTGCTTCATACAGTCAGACCATTGCTTCATCTGGCTCGGTATACTGTCTACACTGACTGGCAGCAGCTCTTCAGGGTTTCAGCCCTACCTGAAGATATAGTGAATTTGAACCTGCGACCTTATACATGTAAAACAGATGTTCTACTACTGAACTACAGCCCTTAGATCTTTTTTGTATTATTATTTAAACAATGTATACACTGCTTAACTGCAATAGTCTCTAGATACAATACAAGCAGTAAAAATCAATTAAAACTATAAAATCAAACTTCAATTAAAATGCCTGCCAGAATAAATGAAAAAAGCATTTAGCAGGTGCTGGGCATTCAGCAGGAAAGGTGCCTGCATGACTTCAACTGGAAGGAAGTTCCATAAACTTGGGTCTACAACACTAAACACAAAGTTCCTGGTGTATCCAAGCCATGGGGGACGACTAACAGTGACTCCCCCAAGACCTCAATCACCTTATTATTATTTTTATTAAATGTTTTATTTATCTTAAGCATACATCTTAAGATAAATTGACTATGCAAAAGCCTTTGACTGTGTCGACCACAGCAAACTATGGCAAGTTCTTAAAGAAATGGGAGTGCCTGATCACCTCATCTGTCTCCTGAGAAATCTCTATGTGGGACAAGAAGCTACAGTTAGAACTGGATATGGAACAACTGATTGGTTCAAAATTGGGAAAGGAGTACGGCAAGGCCGTATATTGTCTCCCTGCTTATTTAACTTATATGCAGAATTCATCATGCGAAAGGCTGGGCTGGATGAATCCCAAGCCGGAATTAAGATTGCTGGAAGAAATATCAACAACCTCAGATATGCAGATGACACAACCTTGATGGCAGAAAGTGAAGAGGAATTAAAGAAACTTTTAATGAGGGTGAAAGAGCAGAGCGCAAAATATGGTCTGAAGCTCAACATCAAAAAACGAAGATCATGGCCACTGGGCCCATCACCTCCTGGCAAATAGAAGGGGAAGAAATGGAGGCAGTGAGAGATTTTACTTTCTTGGGCTCCTTGATCACTGCAGATGGTGACAGCAGTCACGAAATTAAAAGACGCCTGCTCCTTGGGAGAAAGGCGATGGCAAACCTAGACAACATCTTAAAAAGCAGAGACATCACCTTGCCAACAAAGGTCCGTATAGTAAAAGCCATGGTTTTCCCAGTAGTGATGTATGGAAGTGAGAGCTGGACCATAAAGAAGGCTGATCGCCGAAGAATTGATGCTTTTGAATTATGGTGCTGGAGGAGACTCTTGAGAGTCCCATGGACTGCAAGAAGATCAAACCTCTCCATTCTTAAGGAAATCAGCCCTGAGTGTTCACTGGAAGGACAGATCGTGAAGCTGAGGCTCCAATACTTTGGCCACCTCATGAGAAGAGAAGACTCCCTGGAAAAGACCCTGATGTTGAGAAAGATGGAGAAGGGGACGACAGAGGACGAGATGGCTGGATAGTGTTCTCGAAGCTACCAGCATGAGTTTGACCAAACTGCGGGCAGCAGTGGAAGACAGGAGTGCCTGGCGTGCTCTGGTCCATGGGGTCACGAAGAGTCGGACACGACTAAACGACTAAACAACAACAACAACAACAAGCATACATCTTAAGACTTACACCCCACCAGCTGAACCTGACCAGGATGTCTGAACAAAGTGAGCAAAGAGCTTGGACCCCAACACCACAAAAGGCAGCCTTACTGCCAAGTTACCTTCTGTATCTGAAGTTGCTGGCGCAGCATCGCCACCTTCAGTCTCAAGGCTTCCATCTCCTTCAGCTCCTCCAAGCTGGAGTAAGAAAGCAGTGGCGGTTGCCCAACAGTGTCTACATCCCAGCACCTCTGGCTTCCAGGGGAGGCACACCATGCAGAGGAGCATCCCTCGCTGCAAGCGGAGTTAGCAGGGAACAGCTTCGAATGGGACTCCATAGCTGTCAGGGGATTAGCAAAGCACAAAAGTGAGAACACCAAGAGGGAAGTGATAGCACTCTGCCAATACCTGAAGGGCTAGAACACAGAAGAAGAGGACAAAGTGTTGTTCTCGGCTGACCCAGAAGGTAGGACGGTCAGGCATAGGCAAACTCGGCTAGAGATCTAGTCCAGGTGTAGGCAAATTCGGTCCTCCAGATGTTTTGGGACTACAACTCCCATCATCCCTGACCACTGGTTCTATTAGCTAGGAATGATGGGAGTTGTAGTCCCCAAAACACCTGGAGGACCGAATTTGCCTACGCCTGGACTAGATCTCTAATGGGCTCAAGTGAAACTATGGAATGCGCTCCTACAGAAGGCATAATGCTTCTGGCCAGTTTCTGGAAACCACAGGATGGGTTGTGCTCTGGTTCTGCTTGCAGGTTTCCTGTAGGCATCTGGGTGGCCACTGTGAGAACAGGATGCTGGACTAGATGGGCCACTGGCCTAATCCAGCAGGCTCTTCTTAGGTTCATAAGGCAAGATTTGAACTGAAACGTCTTATTGTTAAAAGCAGATTGACAGTTGAACCAATCTATTAGAGGGCTAGCAGGCTCTCCCTTGCTCAAGGTCTCCAGGCAGATGCCTGTTGGGGATACTCTTGATCTCCTGCATTAAGAAGGGAGTTGAACCAGATGGCATAAAAGACACCTTGCAGCTCCATGGTTCTATAATAAACCTTTTGTTTGCAACACAATTTGCTTACTGTATCTGCATAAGAAAACAAGCCACGCATTGCTAGGAACTGAGCAATTAGTTACAGGGTAAGGCTGATCTGTTTGTTTTTGCTGAGAAAGCTGCAGTGCCATAGAAGGCGGCCAAGCAGGATTATGACAAAATGTCCTAACCCTACATGGCCCACGCCTAGGTGGAGACCTGGAACGAGTGCTGAATTTTCAACCATCCAGGTTAAGCATGCAGAATGAGTGTGTGGTATTGCAGCTCCCAAATCTGATTTTATCTATCTGTAATTGGTTATAGCTATACATCAATTTTTCAAAAACAACAACACAATGTTATTATGTCATATCCTTCACCTTCTCTTAACTGGTGCACTTTGTCCAGACACTGGCCCACTATCGTTTGCAGGCCCTCCAGAGTCAGAAGACTTTCGTACTGTCTCTGCCAAGTTGGGTTTTCTCCAAGAGACTCTAAGAGGAATAAGAGAGTTAGAGGCTTCAGGTCTCACAGAATCACTCGGGAGAAGGCAGCCTCAAGTCTAGCACCTCAGAGAAGTTGTGGGGGTCCCACAAATAAAGAAATGCAAGCTATGTTCTGACAGCAACCATTCATTAGGATTTTTAAGTGCATACTCAAAAATGAAACATTGGTGAGATATAGTGTTCCAAACTACATGCATCATACAGACTAGATGCAAAATAGAGAATTTGGGGTGGTGGTGCACACCAAACCATAGCTTCTTGCCAATGTAATCTGTGGAGTAAATAATCTGTTCACAGCTGTGGGTATGGATATCTCCACCACAATTTTCTGAGACGGAAATTACATTCCCAAAGCATTTTAGCTACCTTCATCACCTTCCTTACCTGAGGTCTCAGCTTCCATGCACTGGCTCACATGGGAGTGAATGTCACGTAGGTGCTTAAACTCTTCTTTCACTTCAACTGGACTTAAGGCTAGTGAAGGCAAGCAGAACTGACCATAAGCTTAAGTCAATAAGGCTTAGTGGAGACAGTGGAAATAAAGGCTTTTAGGGTCACCATCCTACTGGCTAGCTTGCCAGATTTATAGCAAGGTCAAATGTTTCAGGGCCAAAACTGGCCTTGCATTTAGCAACATTCCTGGAAACAAGGAATTCCACACAGGTCCATTCACCAAGTTCTGTGCAGGTAGAAAGTGGGCTGGGAGAAGAGGGACTGGATCTTCACACCTTTTCAAACTTTTATTCAAAGCTATTTTTATCCAAAAAAAAAAAAAAAAAACAGAACAGGCATAATATTGTCTATAGTTTAACTTTCTTTCCTTCATATTACATGCTATATTGTTTAGTTTGTTTACAAAAAATATTTGTATACCACTATTCATAAAAAAACCAGAGCAGTTTACAACAATTAAATAGAAAACCGCACAATGACAAAAATTAACATTAAAATGAAAATTAAAAACCAGCTATTATGGAAAGATGCATTCTTATCTGTGTGCCTAACAGAACAGAAAACTTTCCAGCAGGTGTTTAAAAGTTGAGACTGAAGGCCATATTTAAAAAAACAAACTACTACTGAAAAATACTGATGTTTTTCAAATGAGAATATGCAAAAGGAAGAAACAGAATGGACTCCCCCGCCCCCCAAGGTCTTGGATGTGCCCAAAAGGCTCTTTCCACATAGGCTATCTTATGCACTCATCAAGCCACAGCTGAAGACACATGTTTACTTCTTCCAAAGCATGGCTGGGGGACCTGCGGCTCTTCTAATACTGCAAGACTCCCAACAACCCTGGTGGTTAGCCGTGCTAGTTGGGACCGCTGGACATTAGAGTCCCGACAACATCTGGAAGGCCACAGCTGTCCCCTGCCCCTCCCCCCCATTATAAAGCCAAAGCCAGAAAAAGATACTGTTGCTTGTAGCTTCTCCATAAAACTATTCCTTGCAGCAACAGCTTCTGGGCTTGTTTTGCAAAGACGGCATTTCTCTCCCAGCCTATAAAGGAGGGGAACAAGCAGTTAGCAAGAGTTGGGCTTAGCCTGAAATTCACACCTCACACATTACAGTTCTTCCTGAAGCAGGGCCAATCATATTTCTGTCAACTACACTTATTTGCTTACACTGCAGGATCCCAAAACACTGAGTATCAACAGACCTTTGTCACTGAAACGCCAGAACGATCTGAGGAAGAAGGAAGGATTGTGTATAATCCTATTGGAAAAGTAATTAAATTTAGGATAGTTGGTCCATCTATAGGCAAGGATGAGAATAACTTGTCCTAAATTGCTGGATGGACTTATTGCATCTTCTCAGATAGCTAAAGCCACAGAAGAGCATCTGCCTACTTGAGAGATGCAAGCCTTGTTTCCAGTAGTGCACAGTAGGTTTCCACTGGAGTAATCAAGACCATCATCAACAATGAGAAAGCACAGCAGAACAGATACCCTTGTCTGCTGTCCAAGCCATACAGAAATCTACATGGCAATGACTGCAGAATATGGTCTTCATTGCAAAATCTGCAAGCAGTTGCAGAATTCAGAGACTCACACTTTAAATTGGTGGAAAGTATTCTCTACCAGGTTAGACTCTTTAGATTAGACTCAGTGGAACAATGGATTTATATTTACTTAGCACGTGGCAGATATTATTCTGCCTGTTCCAAATTAAAGTTGTTGTTGGCATTTAGATCCCAGACGTTTGTTAGACACTAGTGACTGATGCTTTTCAAGCTGCAAGGATGAGGAAATATTTGGCTCCTAATACGTATTTTGACTCCTAACACATACACATTTTATTTGTGTGTCTATTTTACTTTGAAACTTGAAAACCACATGTGGTTTCAGTTAAACAGCAGGACAAAACTATGTCATCCAAATCTACAATTTGATAGAACCTCCTGCCAACACAGATTGATGCCATTTGTTTTAGTTTCTGTTATAAACATGATAGTATATATTATACATAGGATATGACAGATGCAGCTATAGAGATGTATTAATTATTTTTCTTTTGGCTCTGGACTCAGTTACATTGGCAAAGAAAAAGTGCCTTATATGCGTTGTTTGTGCATTCTAACACTTTGACACCAGATGGCGCTGTAGAGTTCCATTTTTGCTAACTAGATTTCTCATACAGTACAAAGTTTGCAACGTGTTTAACTGAAACACTTCTTTGATGTGTCTAGATCCAGCCCTAGTCACTCCATTAACTCTAGCTCTGGATGCATTCAGACAACCAGCAGCCATACAGTAATGACATAAAATGTAATACAGTAGTACCTCTGGATGTGAACAGGATCCGTACTGGAACCCTGTTCGCATCCTCAAGCAAATGCAACCCGCGTCCGCGCGGGTCGCAATTCGCCGCCTCTGCGCATGCGGCAAAACCCGGAAGTAACGCTCTCCATTACTTCCAGGTCACCGCAGAGCACAACCCGAAAATATTCATCCTGAAGCTACTTCAACCCGAGGTATGACTGTAGTAGTATTACATCAGAAGACAATCACATATGGTCTCTGATCACATATTCCCATTTCTTTGCAGCTGTTCAGATGTCAAAGGAAATGAAAGAAACACTGAACAGTGTTAAAACTCCATATACAGGTCACATCCAATGTAAATTTAAAATGCATGGCTTCTCCCAAAGAATCCTGGGAACTGTAGCTTTTAAGGGTGTTGGAAACTGTAACTATGTGGGGGGGGTTAACTACAATTCCCATGATTATTTGGGGAAAGTCATGTGCTTTAAATGCACTTAGGTGCATCGTGTGGATGTGACCACAAAGAACTACTTTCCTCACAGAGTTATAGATGGTGTCACATGATAAGCTTTTAACCCAGGTTTGTAAAATTCTCCTGGTCACCTATAGCCTCCAAGAATCACTGACTGGCATTAAACCAGAAGAGACTGATTATTTCCAAGAGGGAAACAGCGTAATCCATGTCTAAAAGAAACAGGATAACAGTACATCGTTTATACCAGGCTTCCTCAACGTCGGCCCTCCAGATGTTTTGAGACTACACTTCCCATCATCCCTGACCACTGGTCCTGCTAGCTAGGGATCATGGAAGTTGTAGGCCAAAAACATCTGGAGGGCCAAGGTCGAGGAAGCCTGATTTATACCATTCAAGGTGTCGGTGTGGGGGAGGTTCTATCATTCGTCAGCCTAAAGAAACCCATGTTTATCCAAACTAGCATTAGGTAAGGTACATGCTTTACATGCATAAGGTCCCATATTTAATTCCTGATCAACTCCCGTTAGAAACAACAGGAACCAGGTGATGGGTACCACCTCTGCCCAAGACTGTGCCAAAAAGTTGCTGACAGTTTGAGCAGACAATGCTGGCCAGAGGGCACAACCATTATCACCTTCACCCCCATGGGCCACGTCTGACTGATGGGCGAAGACCCCCATGTCACAGTAACCTCAGGAAACCCCTGCAGGCCTCCTTTTTGTCTGAGCCAGCTTTTTGTCTGCCCCATGCCACCTTATAGTAGGCATGTCCTGGCCAAAATGGCCTTGTGGGACAAATGAGGAGGTCTGACAGGTCTAATTAGACCATGGGCTGCAGGTCCTCTGCTCCTGAGCTAGAGGGATGTATAGTCTGACCTGGTATCAGGCAGCTTCCTATACCCATTCTGCAGAAGGCAAATAAAGGCCATGAGAATAAGAGGCTACTAAGTACACCCATGGCTATATGAAAAGTTGACTTAAGGTCTCTAAAGCCAACCCATCTAGACAACACAGGTTGGTGCCACCCCCGTGGATGTGCCAGAAGACAGACTACAGAACACTCCTTCAATCCCAGTTCCATTTTGCAAATTACTAATAACCTAGGCCATCCTACCATAAAGGCTTAGATTCCTCCCTCAAATTTCCCCCATCCATTTGCAGGGAACTCTGAGTTTTTGATTAGCATAAGGTTACCTGGTATACCTGGAAAAGGCTTTCCCATAAGGATGTGGCAGTTTCATCAAAGATCTGTAAAAATAAATAGAACTGGATTATAAAACTTAGCACACACATATTCAAAATCTGGATACATGTTTTCATTTCCTTCTCTTTAATTTCAGATATCAAAAAGCAAGTTACTAGCTGTATGGACACCAGCTGCCCTTCCATAACCCAGGCATTGCTATCACACCATGCCAATTCCAACCCATCCCACAAGCATTTTTTTTGTATTGCCACTTATTAAATTAGTTCAGGTCAAGGACATTTAGCCAGAACCACTGTCTTTACAAATAGCTCAGAAATTTCAAAAGGTCCAAAATGTATTTGATGGAGAAGGAAACAAGCAGCAGCAAGTTAAGCCAGCTAAAGGCTTAACTCCTGGAAACCTACCCCTTTTCCTGTAGAGTAGATATCTGGGATGTTGTGTCTGCCCCTGGGGTGCCTTCTTCCGTATGGCTCTGTGTGGCCACAGACTCTGGAGCAGGACCAACAAAATTATGCTCTGCTTCAGAAAAAGGCACATCAGTACCTGCAATGTCTCCCCCACCCACAAGGTTCCCAAATGAAGGGTTTAGCTTTGCACAATGTGAAGATTTAGAAAATTCATCTTGTGTTCTGGGTTCTTCAGTGGCAAAGACCTTTTCATGACCCATTTGGGTTATTTTTGCAGACAACATGGCTTTGGGGGAGGCAGCCCCTTTGGCTGACTTCTTCCTCCCTGGCATCTTTGAAGTTCTGGAGCTCAGTCTGCTTGACATTTTCACTTGTGACCTTTTCACATCTAAGTCAGTCCTGTAGGGAGCTTTCAGCATGTATGCTGTAGGCTTTTTGGAAGGCACTGGCTTTCTGCTCACAGATTGCACTTTTACTGTCTTCGAGATGCTCTCCTTAGAATGATCCACTTGCTGTTTTACATCAGCACTACTAACAGCCTTCTTTTCTGCAGCTTTGGCACTTTCTATAAGCTCACATGGAGCCTGCTGGAACTTTGCTCGGATCCTTAATGCTTTCTCCAGGGCTTTGTTAAGCAGCTCCAGTTCCTCAAGCTCCTTGGCTGAGGGTTCACTTCCTACAAATGAAAAAGATAATATATTAATTAAGGTCTTTCAGTGCTGTCTCGCTCTGATCCAAATCACAAACTATAAGAATTGTAGAGTTGGATAGGATCATCTAGTCCAATCCCCCTGCAATGATGCAGATTTTTTTTAAAGCACAAAGCCATTTATGGACAATGAGATATGTTATGTTTTCCACACCACCACCTCATAGTGAAATTTCTCATTAACCAGATAGCTTAAACTTTATTTGAATGTGCCTACCATGAAGACCGAGTATGTTGACTGTCTCAAGACAATGCTGAAAAGGTTATGGTAGAACCAGACCACAATTAACAAAAATGCAAGTCTATGGCATATTCCAAATGTTTGGATGCAGAATTTTGAGCCTGTAATGCAAAGAAGCCTAGTTTTATGTATCATGAGAGTTATCGGATTTGATCCTACCCAAGTATGCACAGAAACTGCCACAGCCAAGTTTAAGATGTAAAGCCTTACAAGGGAAAAAAATATTATTAGAATAAGAGAATAATAAAATTGTAGGGTTGGAAGAGACCTTAAATAAAATCTGCACCAAAATGCTTTGGGCTTTTTTTTACTGTTTTATAAATTTCATACTTTGCTTCTTTCCCCACTTTTTCTCTCTCTCTCTCTCCACTCCACCCCTTTACCAGTGCAAAACACACTGAATACCAGTGTGATCCCACAATGAAGTGCCTCTAAGTCTGAAGACACAGACAAGAGTAGCTAGCATGTAGGCAAAGGAAAGAGAGAACACTTAATTGAAGAGAGAGGCTGGGAAAGAACTGTTGTTCCCATACCTTGATTATCATTTTTGCCATCATCAAGGACTGGGTATTCAGGAGCTTGTGAGTTCCTAGCAGAAAGGAAACACAGAGCAAGCATTCAGCAAGAAACAGGTATGGCCAATAATTCTTCCACAGCTGTCATCCTTTCAAACAGAACACAAGACAGTTATTGTCATTAATAACAATATTCTTTGCCCAGACATCCTGAGGAAACAACAAGGTTCTTAGCTTTTAACTTTTAAAAAAAATCTGTATGGACTCATCTCTTCTGCTTGGTAATAAGGAGAGATGGAAAAACTGAGAATTAACTAACACAGTTGTTTGTTGTTGTTTTTTTTTTTATTTACTAACACAGCTTGCTTCCTCCTCACTTAAAAGGAAAAAACAATTCTCTGAAAATTTAGGATAGGACTGGCACATATTCCTCTTTCCCCACCTCCAGCTTACCAGTCTCCAAGAATAGCTTGGCATTGTGTTAGGTTCTGCTGCAGTTGCTGCTTTTGTTCAGCACAGTCTTCCAAGGCTTGGGTGAGTAGAGAAACCAGTCTAAAATGGCAAATGGTACAACGAGAAAATTTTGCTCTTTAACTTGGAAACAATATAATCAACATTCTTAAAATTGGCCTGTTCTCTAGGAAAAGACATGGGGAGATAAGGAAGCATTTGGCAGCCCCATACAAAATTTGACATTAAATTATAGATGTGTGTATGGAATTTCTAGGCATCCCTCACAAGCAGGCTTGTAATCCAAGACTCTCCTCATTTTAGAAACGAAACACTGGGTACCGCTGAACAATAAGCTGAGACACTACTTCCCTCAGTTGTTGAAAGGGCTCGGCTTTTACCCTACAAATAGGTTCTGGGGTTGGACCCGCCACCCCGTCCCAAGGCCGGCGGGGTACGGGGCTCCCTTCCTCCTGAATTTAAACTTAGATAGTAAACGCGCCGGGACAGGAGGAGCCTCTCCAGTTCTACTCCATAAATCGCAGGCACGCTGATCATGTAACGGCAATAATAACAACTACTACTACTATTACTACAATATCACCTGTGGGCACAGTCTGCGGGCAGCATGAGGACAGCCAGGGAAAATCCGCAAACTGGCAATTAAAGCAAGCAGCAGCAGCGGCGGCGGCAGTAAATCCCCTCGCTCCCACCCAAAGAAGCACAAGCACCAACTACACACTTTAGCCACTTCCTGCACCCTTTGGGGCACTTCCGGTCTCACGCTGAACTGCTTTTTCCAACCTAACGTCCAACGCGCTGGATGGAGAGTTTTCACTATAGAGGTGCCAAAGAACAGAGCGAAACACACATCTATTCCGCGGCCATAGTTTATCCATAAAGCTAGAAATGGACCTCACTATATCTTTTTGTAGGCAATTTTAATTTTGTATGATTTTTAAAAAAAAAACTTTTAAAATTACTACTCTCCATCTTAACTAGCCATTTCTTTATATCCAACGTTCCCTGCTATATCTTTCTATCTCTATAGTCTGGGTGTCTGACAGGCCCTCGCTGCCGGGTCCTGTCAGGTTTGTTGTGAAACACCTCGGCGGAACCGTAGCTACTGTAATCTCCGAGCAATCCCCGCAGCTTCCTTTGACAACTATGGATTATTAATTTTTTCCGCTTCTGGCTTTCGCGCCGTCTTCTTTATCACCATCCTGGTGTTTTGTAGATTATTTTTTTTTTTTGGTCATTGATGAATTTATTTCACCCCTGCCAGGACCTGCCCGATCAACGGCAGCAAGCCCTTGACAACGGTTGCCATGTGGAAGACGCTTGGGCCTGGTGCATTGATTTAGGCCCTAGTTACACCAGCTTAACACACCGTGTCCAGCTACGCAGCGAGCGAGATTGCAGCGTGGCTCCTCCCCACCCCGCCGCCGCCTCCTTCTCTTCAATTCTTAACGTCCTTCTCGGCTGCAGAAAGGCTCACTCTGATTCTGCTGCCAGGCATGTCGGGATTTGTTTCATCCAGCTATGCATAAGGCAGATAACGTTGCTCTGCAGACCCTTCCCTGCTCCAGGGGTGGGCCGAAATCACATTGTCATGGTACTCAATACAACCCCACTATGAGGAAAGGTTGCAGCATTTGGGACTTCTTAGTTTAGGGATATGGCAGCTAAGAGGTGACATGACAGAAGTGTAAAGAGGTACCTCGGGTTAGAGACACTTCAGGTTACTGACGCTTCAGGTTACAGACTCCCCTAACCCAGAAATAGTACGTCGGGTTAAGAACTTTGCTTCAGGATGAGAACAGAAATTGCGTGGCGGCAGCGGGAGGCCCCATTAGCTAAAGTGGTACCACAGGTTAAGAACGGTTTCAGGTTAAGAACGGACCTCCAGAACGAATTAAGTTCTTAACCCATGATACCACTGTATGTATAAAATTATGCATTTTAGGGAAACTTTGTACGTTGCTACGTATGGTAAATGAAACAAACTTATTAGGTTCATTTGCACAGTACACTTTAACGTCACAAGTAAAAATGTTTGCAAAATATGTTTGCTTGGGAGGAGGGCATGTTTCCACATATTAATGGCCTTGGTTTCAGTAACCTACTTCTGTGGTGAGTAAGGGACCTTTTCAGGCAAAAAGGATTCCATTGGGAGAAGATCTAAAATAGTGAGATGTATTGTCAGGGTACATTTCCAAATCCATCTGCCTTGGTTTCAACCACAGGGCATACATAACATACTGTTGCATGCCATCCCAGTCTCTGAGCGGTGTGAGATTCCCAGGGTCTGGTTACCTTAGAATGAGGGACAGCAGAGGCTGTGGTGTCTTTAAGATATATAGTTTATTTGCACATATATACAATCTGAGTCTGCGGTGTTAATTGACACCCCAGAAGGTCTTGCTTCTCTCAGTCACAGCCTTGGAATCAAATAGAAATCAAGCATAGCCCTAATTGTCTTGCTTCTAAACAAACAAACAAACAAACAGTCTGGCTTCTGCCTGCTTCTTGCTTCCAGCTCACACATCCCACTTTCTTTTTCTTTCTCACTACCAGCCAAGTGAGAGAGGGTGCCCACTTATTTATCCTCTGGTACAGAGCAACTTTGTTATACCTAACAACAGTACTTAGGTGGTACTTTTCTCACAAAGGAACTTGCCTGGCTCAGCTTTTATTTTTGTAAATAAAATCAAATGCTGCAAAATACCTTAGGCCTCCAGCGAACTTCCAAAAGAAACTAAGCCAAGTGAGATAAGCATTACACCTCTGGACTTTTCACTGTTCAGACAAATGTGGGGAGCATGACAATACCTTATGATATGTACAGATGGTATAATAATAATAATAATATTTTTTTATTTATACCCCGCCCTCCCCAGCCAAGGCCGGGCTCAGAGCAGCTTACAAGCAATAATAAAAACAAGATGAATGTTTACAACTTAAAAACAAAAATAAAATACAGCATTAAAATAATGGAACATTAAAAGATTAAAATGTAGCCTCATCGCAGGAGGAGAAGGAAAATAAAAAAGAAAGAGAGGGAGGGAGGGAATCAAATTGGCTCCAAGCCAAAGGCCAGGCGGAACAACTCTGTCTTACAGGCCCTGCGGAAAGAAATCAAATCCTGCAGGGCCCTGGTCTTATGAGGCAGAGCGTTCCACCAGGCCGGAGCCAGAGTTGAAAAGGCCCTGGCTCTGGTTGAAGCCAATCTAACTTCCTTAGGGCCTGGGATCACTAGGGTGTTGTTATTTATGGACCTTGAGGCTCTCCGTGGGGCATACCAGGAGAGGCGGTCCCATAGGTACAAGGGTCCTAGGCCATGAAGGGCTTTAAAGGTCAAAAGCAGCACCTTAAATCTGACCCTGTACTCCACCGGGAGCCAGTGCAGCTTGAAAAGCACTGGGTGAATATGCTCCCATGGCAGAGACCCCGTGAGGAGCCTCGCTGCAGCATTCTGTACCCGCTGGAGTTTCTGGGACAGCTTCAAGGGCAGCCCCGCGTAGAGCGAATTACAGTAGTCAAGCCTGGAGATGGCCGTCACATGGATCACTGTGGCCAGGTCAGGGCGGGAAAGGTAAGGGACCAACTGCTTGATGCGGCGAAGGTGGAAAAATGTCGCCTTGGCTGTTGCTGTAACTTGCGCCTCCATGGAAAGGGAGGCGTCAAGGATTACACCCAAACTCTTAACGGAAGGCAATGGCACTAATTGGGCCCCCGCAAGAGAAGGGAGTTGGTCCCTCATCCCCATGCCATCCCGACCTAGCCATAGGACCTCTGTCTTCGAAGGATTTAGTTTCAATCGGCTCCCACGAAACCATCCAGCCACAGCTTCCAAGCATCTGGTCAGTGTGTTCGGGGCCGAGTCGGTGTGGCCATCCATCAGCAGATAGAGCTGAGTGTCATCAGCATATTGGTGACAGCCCAGCCCAAAGCTCCGGATAATCTGGGCAAGGGGCGCATAAAGATGTTAAAAGCATCGGGGAGAGAATTGCGCCCTGCGGCACTCCACACACCAAGGAGTGGCGCGACGACATTTCCCTCCCTAGTGCCACCCTCTGTCCCCGACCAGAGATAAAAGAGCACAACCAGTTACGGGCTATGCCCTGTATCCCCACGTCTGCGAGGCGGTGGTCCAGAAGATCATGATCGACCATGTCAAAGGCTGCTGACAAATCTAAAAGGATCAGCAGTCCTGACCCGCCTCGATCCAGTTGTCTACGGAGATCATCTGTTAGGGCAACCAGAGCCGTCTCCGTCCCAAAACCAGAATGGAAACCGGACTGAAATGGATCTAATGCCGATGTTTCCTCCAGAAACCTACCAAGCTGTTCAGCAACCGCTCTCTCAATTACCTTACCCAGGTATGGAAGATTTGAAACTGGGCGGTAATTGGATAGGTCTAAGGGATCTAATGAAGTTTTCTTTAAGAGTGGACACACCACTGCTTCCTTCAGTTCCCCTGGGAATGTCCCCGTGTCAAGGGACAAATTGATAATTTCAACCAGGGGGGTCCGCGCAACATCTGGACACTCCCTAATCAGCCAAGACGGGCACGGATCAAGGAGGCAGGTGGTGGGCCTACCAACTTGGAGGAATCTATCCACATCAGTAGGGAGTATCCGATCAAAATGGTCCAACACTGGACCTGAAGTCAGTCAAGGGGCCTCCAGTTCAGTCACTGTATCTAAATTGGCAGGGAGATCATGGCGGAGCAACAGGACTTTCTCCGCAAAAAAGCTCACGAATGCCTCACAGCTGTGGGTTGAATTTGTGCTTAAATTTGGTTGTCCTCCTAAGGACGTTATTGACCTAATTATTCTAAAAAGTTGTGCCGGGCGAGAGCTAGCGGATGCAATGGAAGCTGCAAAGTAAGATTTCTTAGCAGCTTTCATAGCCATCTCATAGGCTTTCATAAGCGTCCTATAAGATGTTCTTGAGGCTCCGTCACAAGTCCGTCGCCATACTCGCTCTAGCCGTCTGAGATCCCGCTTCATTTTCCAGAGCTCCTCAGTAAACCAAGGGGCCCGGTTTCGATGGGGTCGCAGAGGGCGCTTAGGCGCGATCTCATCAATGGCTGCCAAGAGCCGGTTATTCCAGTCCTCAACAAGGTCATCTAATGAGTCGCCAGGAGGAGCAGGGTTCCGCAAGGCTTGTCAGAATCTATCAGGATCCATCAGTTTTCGCGGACGAGCCCAAATAGGTTCGCCACCCGAGCCAGGGAGGAGCGGGAAGTCAGTCTTGGCTTTCAGAGCGTAGTGATCAGACCATGGCACTTCCACAGCGGGGAGCATGATCATATCTATGCCAGCCCCAAAGATCAGATCCAGCGTGTGGCCTGCTTGATGAGTGGGGCCTAAAACAAACTGGGAGAGCCCTAGTGTTGCCATGGAAGTCACTAGGTCCAGAGCCTGTGAGGAGGGAGCGGCATCGGCATGGACACTGAAGTCTCCCAAAACCAGTAGGTTTGGGAACTCCAAGGCCCAGCCCACCGCCACCTCCAGCAGGTCTGACAGGGTGGCTGCAGGTGTGCTGGGTGGTCGGTACACCAGCCAGACAGCCAAGTTCTCCTTGGTGCCCCACACGAGACCAACACATTCAATGCCGGAGATCGCCGGTGATGGCAGAGCTCTGAAAGAGCAATCCTCCCGGAATAACAACGCTACTCCTCCCCCCCGACCCACAGTTCGCGATTGATGGAGGACAGAGAAACCTGGGGGTGTTATCTCATGTAGGGAGACTACTTCGCCTTCCTGTACCCAGGTCTCCGTCACGCAAGCCAGGTCAATCCCCTGCGAGAAAAAAGTCACGCATGGTGGCGGTTTTGTTGCCTATGGACCTGGCATTGCACAGCACCAATGACGGAGGTGTGTAATCCTTGCTCTCCCTACCCTCATCCCTTGGGATGGGGCGTAGATTGGAAGGGGTTCGAGGATCACTGCATCTCGAAACCCTTCGCCAATAAAGATATCTAGCCCCACCGCCATTCCTCCCTAGCCCTTCAATTGTGGAAATCCCAGAT